ATGCTATGGGGTCCGACTTACCACTGGCTCTGGGCATTTATACATACACTCGGTTGATGTCCGCTGATAAGTAATACTTCCGTGACAAATGTCCTAGGCACCCAAACTCGGACCCAAGCTCAACCGTCCGAGCCAAATTCATACTTTAGAAATAATGGGCGCCGACATTCCCTGTTGTTTTCCTTTCGATTAGTCACTGGCCTTTAATTCACGTACATGTGCCAATTGTCGAAGTCACAGTAAGTCTGCCGTGGTTTGAAGAGCGTCTGCGGCTACAATACATATCGGCACTGATACGGTCTTATATGTCAGAAACTTACTACGGCGATGTTTCACATCAAATTTTGCAATATCGCTTTAGACCGTCGTTAAGTTTTTTCTCTTGTTTTGATTTTGAATATGACGTTATGAGATACCAATTTTTGTCTCGATTATTTCATTAAAGGTAGTGTGCCAGCTTTCTTGGACCGTATGGAGTTAATGGCCCAGATAAGGAGAACCGGATTTTTAGAACTTATCCATACCTTCAAAACTCATGGAAACGTCTTAAATTCTTCAAAATTTAAGTACCCCAGTGCGAAATTCGCCCCGACGGGTTGTCGGTCGTACCCCAACCACATTTCACACCACTATGAACAATAAATGCGCACACTGAAAGCGCTATTACCGATATGCTCATCCAATCAAGTTTCGATAAACCCGTTCATCATCATCTCCTGCGGTTTCGAACACGCCTGTTAGGTGGCTTCTGATGCTCGTCGAGGTCGGAATTTCCAAATACGCGTGGTGCGTCGGGCCGCGCGCTCTGACTTCGGCCAAGAAAAATGCGTCAGCTGATCATTGTCATTTCTGCCACTTGCGTGTGGTGAAATGGGGTCATAACTTATAAGACGGCTTTTTCATATCAATTATTTTACATAAAATCATATTTCAAACCATAAATAATGTTCGACAGCCAAATAAAAGAAACAATACCAATACGGGCTTACAGTTTAAGGCTCGACATTGTGTTGTCTACGATTAGACAGCTGATAACTCATTCCCGTACGCCGTATGGTCGTAACACTATAATGACCTTTGCTTATTGTCACAAGTGCGCCGCATTCGCGATTGTTGCCCGACGCCTGTTTGCAGGTGAGCCCACTACAGTTGTTATACATATCTAAAAACCGAAAAACTTTTAGGCGAAAAAGGCACTATTCCAGGCCAATTTTTGATTTTTTTTTTTGCGATATTAGGTAAAAACAGAAGCTTCTTATCCTGGGAAAAATAAAATTGGAAATCTTTCAAAGGTGGCACACTACCTTTAAACCCAATGTCGCATATTTGACATGGTGCTCAGGAAACAGCTTGCATTCTCTTACTTCCAAAGAACGCTTTGCTTACTTGCATATGGAAATACCTATAGCGTGACTGACGGCACTGCTATAAAAATAATAAAAGGATTTCAGCTTTTCATTCACGAATAAGGTATACAATCTTGCTTTACTATTCTCACGTAGCATGAGCACCGTACATCTGCAAGAAATACAATGGATTATGGTAATGCGTGGTATACTGGATGACTTTAGTAAAACCTTTCTACTCAAGTGACAAGGAGGTTAAGCATGCTGAAACAAAAATATTTTTGCCGCTAGCCGCCAGAAATATAAGACCAGGAATCCGACCAATACAATGGTGCGCCCATGCGCCTAGTACTTTGTGTCAAAGCTCAAGTTCTTTTTAATGGCTCTAAATATCATAACGTTTCCGCTATCTTAGCCCCTGCCCCCTATAGACTATTTTTGTTGAAGTTATTCGTGAAAAACTAAGACCCTAGCTCTGAGTTTTTGAGCTGACCTTTGAGGTCCTCTGTTGATCTCAGACATTGGATTGGAATTGGGTATCGTTGAATTCGTCTTGTGTTCGAGATCATCCTTTTCAGATTTATCACATTTATCGATTCTTTTACGGATTACGCTAACCCTCGCCGGCACAGGCCATTTTGCGTCCTTCGACGGCACAAGGGGGGGGGGGGACTACGACCACCCTCGCGTTTGGCCCCTGATTGAGCTAGATCTTCGCAGAAAAACCGAGCGTGCTGCCCGTCGCGAGAGGAAACCAATGATACCGAATTTTAAGGTCCTAGGTCATCGGTTGACCTTCCAGGTCAGGTCAATGACCCAAAAGTCGGGAAAATCGGGACTGTTAGAAAGTCTTGAATATGTTTCAACGCTAACTTGAGAGACATTGTAACAAATAGTAAGAAAATTAACCTCACTCTCATTCTATCTAAACGTAAATTCCGGATTCGAAATAAAACAAACTTTTTGAGAAGCTTTCGGCATTGCGCCATCATCAGCTCTGGAGTTTTATTCGCAAACATTTGAGAAAATATGCATTCGGGCTGATAGTTTTGTCTGCAGTTATTTCATCCAGTACTTCCTTCATATTACATAACAGTTGGCGGCGCAAGAACATTTCGTTACACACATGCATGTAGATCGACATCGTATCAAATAAACATCGTATAAGTTAACATCAAATAAACCTCGTATCGTATCGTGCATCATTCTTTTGAACAGATTCTTTTGAACACATAGGAGGCCCAGATATTGTGAAGTAAAACACCTTAAATACATTCATCACACAAACATACAGCGAAAAAAAAAACACAAACACATACAACATACAAATAGGACATACACCTTGCAAACAGTTGATCGATGTCGATCAGTCTGTCAGGCTCAGGTACCACGCCGTATCAAAGACCACGATGAGGTTTGTGTGTTAAGGGTAGGTTTCAGATCACGAATGTATATTGATTCCCAAATCTTTCTGTCTGGACCGTCTTTGGAGACATGCAAAATTTGGATCGAGATGTTGTCGCTGCCCAGCTGAATATCTGGATGTTTGGTTTGATGGAAGCCAAAGGGAGTGTCTTCTTTTCTGTTTCTAGCATCTCTGATGTGCTCGTTGTACCTGAGCCTGACAGACCGGCGAGTTTCTCCGATATAAAATGATGCGTTTTCGTCGCACAGCTTACAGTCCATTCGATAGATGACATTTTTTTGGTGACATTTGCCTTTAAGGCCTGCCTCACACCCATTGCACCGCCTACCTGCCCCCGGACACGGTGGAGGAAGGTAGGCTGACCTAACCAGTTTTTTCTTCAAGCTGGGACCTCCCTTCCACGCTACCCTTATGTTCAGATGACTACTCCTGATGATGCCTTCTGTCTTACGGCAGAGTTCATCATCCACGAAAGGGAGGGTCATGAAGGTTTGAGAGGGTTGTTGCTGAGTGGCATGAGTCAGAGAGGCTGATGCTCTTCGGACTGCTTCGTTTTTCAACCGATTGACTAAGTGAGGAGGGTAGCCATTTTTTACGAATAGGTCCTGGATTGTTTTCAAACTGCGCGCCCGAGGGAGTCCCGGTGAGGAGACCCTGATGGCCCGTAAGAATTGTGACCGTACTGTGTTTTTCTTTGTGGAAAGGGGTAGCGCTGAGAGGAAGTGAACGATCACTGGTGATGACATGGGTTTTACGAAAAGTTCACTTGTGTAAGACCCAGACTCCAAAATTGATATTTTGGTGTCAAGGAAAGCCAATGAACCGGTATCGGCGGTATGCTCAATCGTGAACTTGATTGTTGGGTGAATGGTGTTCAGAAAGTTGAAGTACTCTTCGAGGGCTTCTTTCCCATGTGTCCAGACCCCAAAGACGTCGTCTATGTACCGCAGGTACAGGACGGGCTGGAGGCGCTGGGCGGCAAGGAACATTGATTCTAAGGCATGCATGAACAAAATTGCTAGTGGTGGTGCCACCCTGCTGCCCATGGCGATGCCGTCCGTCTGTTTGAAATATTTTGATCCAAACCGAATGAAGTTGTTTGTCATGCAGTGTTCTAAAAGTTTTTTAACGTCAGCTACTTCCAAACCGAAAGTTTCCACCCGTTCCTTATGGTGCTCGAGGAGGGCCATGGTGGCGTCGATGGCTTCCCTAATTGGTATGTTGCCGTAGAGGTTGACGACGTCGATGCTGAACAGTATCGTACCTGGTTCAAACCCCCCAGGAAATTGTTCCGATACACGATCCAGAAACTGAGACGTGTTTTTTAAGTGGGCTGGCACATAGGGAATGAGCTGTGAAACTACCTTCTCCAAAAACCAAGTCAGTTTATCTAGAGGGTCATCACAGGCGGATACTATCGGTCTGAGGGGAATGCCGTGTTTGTGGTCCTTGGGAAGCCCATACAGCTCGGCGGTTCTCGAGCAGTGCGGTGTAATAGCCTTTACTACACCTTCATCAACTTTGTCATCCATAGTCTGGTGAATTACACGTTTGGTGTTGGCCTCTAACCTTGGGATCGGGTTACGGTTCACCTCCTCATAGTTGGAAGTGATAGAATTCATCTTTTCCACATAGTCCGATGCATTCATTGCCACTAGTCCCTTACATTTGTCTGAAGGTTTCACAACGATGTCTTTGTTTTGGGCTAGTTGGCGCAACGCCCGACTCTGATACTGGCTGTGATTAGTGCATCTCGAAGGGTGGGTTTTGTACGCAGCTAAAATCTTTCTCTTTACCTGCTGTAGAGATTGTTCCACGGCGCTTGGAGCCGCAGGCGCCTGGCTACAGTTTCCATCTGGGAATCGAGGCTGGAGTGTCTTCGCTGTTGCGGGAGCTCCTACCGTGTCTGCGGCTGCGTCTGCGTGTTCATCAGCCACTGCGGTAGCAGTCGAAGCGCCAGCAGCGACAGCGGCAGGGGCAGCCGCTGCTTCTGAAGCATTGTCGGTAGCACCGGCTACGGCTGGAGCGGCGACGGCTGCTTCATGGGGTGTTGTGATGCCAGTAGCGTTGGCAGTGGCTACTGATCTAAGTAGTTGTAGCTCAGGCTGTCTGTGTTGTTGCTGTTCTCGCTGCTGTCGTTCCTGTTGTTGCTGTCCCTGCTTTATTTGACTGCTTTATTTGACTTTATTTTACTGCTTTATTTGATACGATGTCGATCTACATGCATGTGTGTAACGAAATGTTCTTGCGCCGCCAACTGTTATGTAATATGAAGGAAGTACTGGATGAAATAACTGCAGACAAAACTATCAGCCCGAATGCATATTTTCTCAAATGTTTGCGAATAAAACTCCAGAGCTGATGATGGCGCAATGCCGAAAGCTTCTCAAAAAGTTTGTTTTATTTCGAATCCGGAATTTACGTTTAGATAGAATGAGAGTGAGGTTAATTTTCTTACTATTTGTTACAATGTCTCTCAAGTTAGCGTTGAAACATATTCAAGACTGCGAAACCATTGTTAACCGTAGAGAAACGCTTGTCAAAACTTTACTTTTGGTACCAAAACTAGCAAACAATATTGAAAGAATATGGTTTTTGATAGAATGTAGACGAGCAGACGTTCTGCCGCAGTTCATCCAGAATGTAATGGCAAAGACACGCACTATCGTCTCCGGCGGACAAGGCTTCGAAGATAAGAAGAACCGCTTCTCACGTGAGCTTCTCAATGAGGCAATCAAGGAAGCATTCCGCAAGCAAGCCTACCTCGAGCGGGAAAGGGAGCGGCTGGAGGTGAACAACTTCAACACAGGATCTGATCTGCTACCGTGGCTTCAGCGCCAGTGCGTATTGCTGTACGCAAAATGTCGCCAAGACAACAGACAGAGGCTACAGAACAAGTTCAGGAGACTCATTGACGACAACTCAACCCACAACCGGATCAACTTCTCCAATGAGAACGAGAACATCCGCAGCCAAGCGACTGAAACTGACGCAGCTGATGGTGGGATTGCTGAGCGTAGACATGGATCATCTGAATCTTTCAAGAACCTTTCAGGACTCACCATGGAAGACAACCTAGTCGATCTACTTAACCGCGGGCCCAAGTTTTCGCTTACCAGGAAGATAACTGACCACGTTATAAAAGATGTAGAAACTGGCATTGAGCGTGGGGTGTATGCTCTCCGCTGGAAAATGGACATCGAAAGCCGACGTGTGGCGCGTCTGCAGGACCAGCAAGACCAGCAACCGTTGCCGCCTCAAAACACTTCAATAGAAGACCAGCAAAATCAGGATCATCATCATCATCATCATCATCAGCAGCAGCAGCAGCAGCAGCAGCAGCAGCAGCAGCAGGAGCAGCGGCAGCGGCGGCAGCAGGGACAGCAACAACAGGAACGACAGCAGCGAGAACAGCAACAACACAGACAGCCTGAGCTACAACTACTTAGATCAGTAGCCACTGCCAACGCTACTGGCATCACAACACCCCATGAAGCAGCCGTCGCCGCTCCAGCCGTAGCCGGTGCTACCGACAATGCTTCAGAAGCAGCGGCTGCCCCTGCCGCTGTCGCTGCTGGCGCTTCGACTGCTACCGCAGTGGCTGATGAACACGCAGACGCAGCCGCAGACACGGTAGGAGCTCCCGCAACAGCGAAGACACTCCAGCCTCGATTCCCAGATGGAAACTGTAGCCAGGCGCCTGCGGCTCCAAGCGCCGTGGAACAATCTCTACAGCAGGTAAAGAGAAAGATTTTAGCTGCGTACAAAACCCACCCTTCGAGATGCACTAATCACAGCCAGTATCAGAGTCGGGCGTTGCGCCAACTAGCCCAAAACAAAGACATCGTTGTGAAACCTTCAGACAAATGTAAGGGACTAGTGGCAATGAATGCATCGGACTATGTGGAAAAGATGAATTCTATCACTTCCAACTATGAGGAGGTGAACCGTAACCCGATCCCAAGGTTAGAGGCCAACACCAAACGTGTAATTCACCAGACTATGGATGACAAAGTTGATGAAGGTGTAGTAAAGGCTATTACACCGCACTGCTCGAGAACCGCCGAGCTGTATGGGCTTCCCAAGGACCACAAACACGGCATTCCCCTCAGACCGATAGTATCCGCCTGTGATGACCCTCTAGATAAACTGACTTGGTTTTTGGAGAAGGTAGTTTCACAGCTCATTCCCTATGTGCCAGCCCACTTAAAAAACACGTCTCAGTTTCTGGATCGTGTATCGGAACAATTTCCTGGGGGGTTTGAACCAGGTACGATACTGTTCAGCATCGACGTCGTCAACCTCTACGGCAACATACCAATTAGGGAAGCCATCGACGCCACCATGGCCCTCCTCGAGCACCATAAGGAACGGGTGGAAACTTTCGGTTTGGAAGTAGCTGACGTTAAAAAAACTTTTAGAACACTGCATGACAAACAACTTCATTCGGTTTGGATCAAAATATTTCAAACAGACGGACGGCATCGCCATGGGCAGCAGGGTGGCACCACCACTAGCAATTTTGTTCATGCATGCCTTAGAATCAATGTTCCTTGCCGCCCAGCGCCTCCAGCCCGTCCTGTACCTGCGGTACATAGACGACGTCTTTGGGGTCTGGACACATGGGAAAGAAGCCCTCGAAGAGTACTTCAACTTTCTGAACACCATTCACCCAACAATCAAGTTCACGATTGAGCATACCGCCGATACCGGTTCATTGGCTTTCCTTGACACCAAAATATCAATTTTGGAGTCTGGGTCTTACACAAGTGAACTTTTCGTAAAACCCATGTCATCACCAGTGATCGTTCACTTCCTCTCAGCGCTACCCCTTTCCACAAAGAAAAACACAGTACGGTCACAATTCTTACGGGCCATCAGGGTCTCCTCACCGGGACTCCCTCGGGCGCGCAGTTTGAAAACAATCCAGGACCTATTCGTAAAAAATGGCTACCCTCCTCACTTAGTCAATCGGTTGAAAAACGAAGCAGTCCGAAGAGCATCAGCCTCTCTGACTCATGCCACTCAGCAACAACCCTCTCAAACCTTCATGACCCTCCCTTTCGTGGATGATGAACTCTGCCGTAAGACAGAAGGCATCATCAGGAGTAGTCATCTGAACATAAGGGTAGCGTGGAAGGGAGGTCCCAGCTTGAAGAAAAAACTGGTTAGGTCAGCCTACCTTCCTCCACCGTGTCCGGGGGCAGGTAGGCGGTGCAATGGGTGTGAGGCAGGCCTTAAAGGCAAATGTCACCAAAAAAATGTCATCTATCGAATGGACTGTAAGCTGTGCGACGAAAACGCATCATTTTATATCGGAGAAACTCGCCGGTCTGTCAGGCTCAGGTACAACGAGCACATCAGAGATGCTAGAAACAGAAAAGAAGACACTCCCTTTGGCTTCCATCAAACCAAACATCCAGATATTCAGCTGGGCAGCGACAACATCTCGATCCAAATTTTGCATGTCTCCAAAGACGGTCCAGACAGAAAGATTTGGGAATCAATATACATTCGTGATCTGAAACCTACCCTTAACACACAAACCTCATCGTGGTCTTTGATACGGCGTGGTACCTGAGCCTGACAGACTGATCGACATCGATCAACTGTTTGCAAGGTGTATGTCCTATTTGTATGTTGTATGTGTTTGTGTTTTTTTTTTTCGCTGTATGTTTGTGTGATGAATGTATTTAAGGTGTTTTACTTCACAATATCTGGGCCTCCTATGTGTTCAAAAGAATCTGTTCAAAAGAATGATGCACGATACGATACGAGGTTTATTTGATGTTAACTTATACGATGTTTATTTGATACGATGTCGATCTACATGCATGTGTGTAACGAAATGTTCTTGCGCCGCCAACTGTTATGTAATATGAAGGAAGTACTGGATGAAATAACTGCAGACAAAACTATCAGCCCGAATGCATATTTTCTCAAATGTTTGCGAATAAAACTCCAGAGCTGATGATGGCGCAATGCCGAAAGCTTCTCAAAAAGTTTGTTTTATTTCGAATCCGGAATTTACGTTTAGATAGAATGAGAGTGAGGTTAATTTTCTTACTAACTGTTAGAAAGTCGTAAAGTGTGGCTGCTGTGAGGTTTTTCGGGGTGCTGCTCACGAATATCGTGTTAGTTTTGATCACAGATGATGGCTTTAAGCATTTAGACCAGGTCGGGTCAGGTCAGGTCAGGTCAGCCAGTAGGGGTCGTGACGTAGTACGTGTGACGTACCTAACCTATTCGTAGTAGTTAACCGTCTCTGGCAGCATCGTAACATGTTACAAAGGCACCAAAACTACTTCGTGAATGTTCAAATGGTTGCTTAATTCGAATTCATGCTCCAAAAACTGGCCTAGAGACATGTAAAACTCGAAAAAGTGAACCGAGGCTACCAAAGTTCAATGACCTGACCTGACCTTCAGGTGACCTTGACATCCACCCTAATGCATGGGAGCAACATCAAATCATATGTTTGAACGTTTGAAACCACGAAAAGCTTGCAAACGCGCGGCTAATGCGAGCCGACATACGCCGAATCGCGATTCCGGCCAAACATGGTCTCGGAAAGTAGGTCACAAGTCAAAGGTCATTTGGGTCAGGGCTATGGAATTTTCATGGTAGGTGTAAAATTGATCAATGTGAGGATACTGAAACTTTCGTCGCGATCGGCGGCCGCTTTTTACGCGAGCTATTCGCGAAAAACGTTGGGGGGGGGGCTGCATCCCCCCTACCGGCGAAGGCTAATATGCCCTCATGTACTTATAATTAGGGCTAAATGCAAACTAAGGCACGTCGGTCTCTCGTCTGGCTTTTTTTTTACCTGGCATGACCTTAAAACTTTAGGACTAATTTTTTTAATTTTTTACTTATTTTGACTTGTCTTAAATGTGTACTTCACTCGTCAATGGGCCCACCATATCCCGTGAGTGTTTATGTAATAAACTAAACTAAACTTAACTAATCTGACAAACCGCGATCCTCCCTGAACATGTTTGTTTATTGTTTTATAGCCATCGAATCATGCTGCCAAGTCACATGAAGATCAATGTTCCGCAGAATTGGATCTGTGCCGCGTGTTTTACAGTTACCAGGGAAGCAGAATACGATTACTGTCGAACAGGGGTGGGAGCTAACCACGGTATCTGCGAATGAAATCTGCCTACGAAATCCATATCCCGTAGTCACGGGACACATTGTACGGTGTGTCACACTGGTAGTAACACATAACACTGCATGAGCCCCACCGCGTTTGCCGGTCAGATGAAGAGGTTGTTCCGTGGTAAATCCAGGTGGGAGTTAGCGATGGCGGTGGTCGGGTCAGTGCAGTGTCGGGCGCTGTGGGCCGGCTCGGCCATCAGTCACAGACGGTGCAGGACAGCCCCTCCCCGTGTAATATACTCGTAACGCTCCGAGCTCAGAGCACCAGCGCGGCCCCTCCTCGTGTAGCGCACAGAGCTCTAGGTCATGAGCCCATCTGTCTCCAGCCGCCCCTGACGCCGAACTTCTGCCGATGGATCCTCTGTCTGCCTACCGAGGCCATGCACCAGCTGGGCCGCAGTCCGGCCGACGCGCCTCTGACGGTTCACCCACACCCAGCCAGGCATCAACGCGGCCCGGTGCGCGCCGACCGATGGGCACACTCGAGCCGGGACTTAGTGCCAATGACGTGCATCTGTGTATAACAACAGCATCTCTGCGGCTTTTGTTGTGCGCTGCTTGTTGCATGTTGGCACCAGTGCACCCTTTATACCTGGCACCAGCTGTTCAGAAGTCCGTCCCGAGCACGTGACAAAATATCATTTACGAGGCCGGCGAATACTTGTGGCCTGAAATCCCTTCATGTAAATACTCCTATTTTAATGTCATGTAGCTTTTTACAGAAATTATAATGTGAGCATGACTCACATAGGGTAATAGTTGAATGTCGTGCTCCGGCGCGATATGTCAGCTTAGAAGAAAAGAAATTAAGTTGCACGAGATGTCTAGATTCTGAATGTGAGCTTACTTTGGGGTGCTCACGCCTCACACTGAGCGTCACAATAAGTATATAGATACAAGCGGCGCATTTCACCATGTTTTCTGCCACAATTGGTAGTAGAACCAATTGAAATGGAAGCATGGAACGACCCATGGCTAAGGTGGATAAAGGGCTTTTTGCGACCAATGAATAGTTTGCATTCCTTCTGCTGCAGGGTGTTTAACCCTATTAGTGGCAGGCTCCTGGCTACCCCCTATTAGTGGCAGGGGGGGCTGTTTACGACCCCCCCTTGATATCTCGAGATCTAACGGGCCGATTTTCAAAATTCAAACGGCATTCGATTTCGCTCAACGTGATCTACATTTCTAAAAAATAAAAATTAAAAAATGTCAATAGGGGGGATAGAGGGGGGTAAAAACGGGCAAATTGCAGATACATTTTAGACTGTTTATCACGGCCAGGTTTCTGAACCAATCTTAACGCAACTTTTGCCGATCGATAGAGAATGAACCAGGAATTTACATGGATCCTAAAAATATGCATTTTCAAAAATCATAGGCGGATACAGATCATTGAGATTGGGGGTGCACAAAAAGTATAGTAAATAAGGTTTTTGTTGGTACTGTTTCTAAAAAGGGTGGTAATGGTCTTGTTATGTTACAATTTTCTTATGAGAGAACGACTACAATTGTATTGGTCATGCATAAGCGGTGTCAGGGCACCTATGTTGGGAGGTAAAACATAACCCCCCTTTTTGGACGCCTGGATCCGCCTATTATAGCAAAAACGTGTCAAAAGAGGATGTACAATAACTGTATATGCTATCACATGATACCTTTCATTCACTGTTCGTAAAACTGGTGCAGCATCGTGATCTTCGCCCAAATGACTTGCTTCACGAATAGGACCCCCCAATTCCCAGTGCTCTGGAGACGCCCCTGGTAAAGTTATGAACTTGAAATTTTCAGGGAATGTGCCCAATTTAGTTTTAGGAAAAGTCAGAAAATTTCAGCATCGTAGCTTCAGCGGTTTCGGAGATATTCCCGAAAAACCTGAGGGGTGGATAAAAACAACCCCCCCTGCCACTAATAGGGTTAACACCCCTCCGGGTTTTCGCAAATATCTTAAAATCGGCGGCGCAGTCACAAATGCTTTGGACGCACGACAAGTATTTTCTATAACGCGAGTGACTTGGGGGGGGGGGGGGCTCTACAGAGCACCCTTCTCCTATCTCAATGTCGTGTGTGTCATTTGAGGTCATTTTCAGCTGAATTTACCTGAGGTCAGATCACTTTCCGGTCAAAAAAGGTCAAATTTTGAAAATGAAATGTTCAACAAAAAGGTGCCTATCAGATGCAGTTTGTGCTCAAGAGCACGATGGTGCTATTTCTATTGCTGTACGA